GCCTCTGCCTACGTTACCGATAGTACAAGACCCTTGTCTTCTACCGGGAAAGCCTATCGTAAGCTTTCTCTAACTCTTCTTTGTAAAGTTCTTTCCTTGGCGTAATGATATTGTTGCAATAAAGGTAAAGATCGTAAGAGTGTTTTATATTTGTTAAAGTAATATGTAGGAAAAGTACTTAGAACAAAGCGTGAAGAACCTATCTTCCTCGGCCGCATCGGCCTCCTTATATAGTGTTCTTCCCACCTTTAATCATGTGACCATGTGCAAAACTAAATCATAACAAACTAATCATATGACCAAAGTGATCACATGCTCAAAACCCATGACCTCATAGCGAGGTCATGTGCGAAACTCATAAATCAATCATAACGCAATAAACAAATCATATGACTTGACTGAGTCATATGCACGAAGCCCATGACATCATAATGAGGTCATGTGCCAAACATAAATCATATGCGCAAGGCTTGCCTGTAAGGCACACTTGTAAGGCATACTCGTCAGGCGCATGTCCCATGACTCATACTTGAGCCATGTGCGAAAGCATCACAAATCCCACACATAACTAATCATATAACCCGAATAGGTCATATGTGTGAAACAATAACATACCTGTGCCTCATAACCATGTGTCACGTGAAAAACCCTTTCCTCGCTAAGCCACATTCATGACAGTATTCTTTAAAGATGCCAACACTGGGAGAACCTGAAATTTACCACACCCACTTTCGTAATTATAATATAACTATCTTAGAACAATACTGTTTCCAATAGTAATCATCCAATCAGTAGAGTCTTGGGACCTAGGACCTAGTTCTGAAGTCGAAATGAGTTAGCTCTAATTGTTCTTATCATTGATGAAATGACCAAGTTCATCTGCAGGCTGTCTCTGTGAAGGTAGTTGTTATTACGATCTTTCTAGGTTGTTTGATTCTAAGTCTTTATAAATCACTACCTAACATATAGATAATTTCCAGAGGACTTGTCACTAATTTGAAGGAAGCTATTCTACCGGATTGACAAATAATCGCTTGGTTGATAACTTTTAGTTGCCCTAGATAACAATGTTTCGATCACTGCTGTAGTATTGTGGGTCTCCCTTACCACAATAACGTGTTCTGAAACCTTGTTGTAACACTCTCTGAAGTGCATTGGCTTCTGTAGTATGGTCTGTTTATAATAATCCCTCGTTGAATAGTTAGTTCTTGGTAACAGGGAATAATACTTCCCTTCTTCTGCTTCTTTTTTCTTTGTCTTACCATCGCACTAGGCCTCTGCCTCCATTACCAATAGTACAAGAACTTTGTCTTCTATTGGGAATGCCAATCATAAGCTTTCTCTAACTCTTTTTCATGAAGAGTTCCCTTTACCGTAACAATAATAAAGATCGTGACAATGATAAAAAAGGGAATGATATTTTATATTCGTTATAATAATTAGTAGGAAAAGTACTTGAAACAACGCATGAAGAACCTATCCTCCTACACCCTTTCAGCCTTCTTATATAGTATTCTTCCCACCCGTAGTCATGTGACCCAAAGTGGTCACATGCATGAAACCTAATTATAACAAAATAAACAAGTCATATGACTCGAATAAGTCATATGTGCAAAACCTATAACTTTATAACAAGGTCATGTGCTAAATATAAATCATATGTGTAAGGCATACCTGCAAGACATACTTGCAAGGCATACTTACCAGTTGTCCTTCCCATAACTCATATTTGAGTCATGTATGAAACCTATCAAATCATAATATAACAAATCATATAACCCGAACATGTCATATATGCAAAACAATAACATACCTATGACTCATAATTATACATTATGTAAAAACCTTTTCCATGCCAAGCAAAATTTGTGACATGGTTGGAGTTCTAAACTCTTCTGGTTATTGCAGAATGGATGCGAATATATTGGTCTATAGTTGAGATCCTTTATCATTCAGTACTATCTCTTGGTTTGAAAGTGTCCAGTTACCTACAATATATACCAAAGTTATTACATCTTTGAAACGTAGTAACCCTCTGAGTAGTTGACGGATTCACTCCGTTTCACTTCCCATACCTAGCCAAAGGTCCCCTCACATATATTCCACAAATATGATCTGGTCAGACTGATAGTGGCGACATAGAGGATATTATTCTCACATCTTCAATTGTCTAGTATTATAGTCACAAGACGCAATTGCGATATATATGTATGATGATGTGCAGTCCTATAAGGGAGCTGGATGGAGTTGTTGGAGACCAAAGATTGTTATTCCAAGTAGAATTACCCTACTTAGCGTGATTCCTAGGTATTAGATCCTGGTATTCCTAATATTAAATGACAATTCTATGATACTATGTACCCTACCATAGGGCTATATGTGGAGCCCCTTCAAGAAGATGATAATATAGCACAGATAATCGCTAGAGCTGAATGAAAGAATGCTATCCTCCATGAAACCACTGCATACTAGGTCTAGGCTACCTCAAGTAGGAGTAGGTAACCCAGACACAAAACCTGGAGAAATTCTATGGGGGGGTACCATTATCTCACAAGAAGAAGATCAGGTCCACTAATGAATCCAGAAGACTGAAAGAAGAATGCTTTTAATGTGGCAAAACTGGATATATGGCAAGAGGTTGTCCTACCAAGAAGAGTAAAGGAAAAGTGAGCAAAATCAAACAGGAAGTATCAGTAAATAGTAATGAAGACCACAGCAATACTGTCCAAGCTAGCAGATATGAGATCTATATTGGCTATGTCGATGTAGAATGCAACAGTGTCTGACCACCCATAACATTCAGACCCTAATATTGTCTAGAAGAAACTATCCTGATAAATTGAAAGAAGGCCTGTGTGATGTTTGATAGTAACACAATTGGAAAGGATAGGATCAGCAATACTTTCATCTCTACTCATGGACTCTTTATCCAACCCCTTAACTAACCAATACCAGTCAATATGGTAGTAAAGGGTTCGCAAACAACAGGCCATAAGTTCTACACTACTGGAATGTATTTAGAAGATGCTAATCATGTTTCGGGGTAAAGTACAATAGTTGACTGGTGGCCTGCTCTTCTAGAAAGAAGATAAGGGCTGTAAACTAATGGAGGCTTTACAGGTGTACTGGGAAAACTAAAGAGTAACAGTTCAACTCAGTATATTGAAATACTATTTGTTGAAGTCTGCCTTTTCCATCGTGGAATCAGGCAGTCTTTAAATACACAAATTTGTTCATGTCTAGTATAAATAAAGCTGCTTAAACGTATTAAGTAATATACCTTGGTAGAACTACTCAAGTATTAAAACAATACTTTGAACAAAACATATAACAAAACCAATTATTGAACTATACTTAAAAAAAACCAAGTATCAAAATAATACTTAAAACAAACTCTTAACTGAGTCCCACACTGGTTACACCTTTAAAGTCCATTGTTGGCTATCTCTTTTGTTAGCAAGGAAGTACAAAGAGGCAATAGAGATAAGTATAGGAGTAATACTAGTATGTAGCAATAGTGGAAAGGAATGATAGGAAGGGTAGTGATCTTTGAAGTTTATTTATACTCTTGTTTTTTTTCATGTCAGTTAGTTGAGTTGTGAGTGTAACTAAGTTATTGAAAAAGTAAGTTGGGAAGAGAGTCTTTGAGAGAGTTGTTAGGGGGAGAGAGAGCTGCAGAGAGAATATTTTTCAAATTCCTCTTTTCACCACCACCTGAAAGCCTTGCCATTTTATTTTGGCTGAGTAATAGTTTGTGATTGCATTTCCTCTCTTGAAAATGGTTATCATTGATCTACTGCTCTGGAAAATTCTTGTTTCTATTAAGTTAGTTGCTGTACGTGTTTTCAGACTTCATAGTATTAATTTGGTCTGATTTACTTGTTAGAGTTTTCTTTCTTTTACTATTTTTGTTTTTTTATTTCTAATTTTTTAATTGAAATCTATTACAGATGAAAGTAACTTACATAATTTATTTGCTGTTGCATCTCAGGGTGTTTTAGCATGTCAGGAATATTTCATATAGCTTATTTGGGGTTTTTAGATCTATACAGTTGAATCAATTACCACTGTTGGTTATCGTATACCTGGAATGCTTAGCTTGGGAGGTATGGAGGGGGACTTCAGCCAGTAACTGACCCCGCGGATATATTTACCTGAACACGTGGTGTTATTATGCTTTTATGTAGAAGGCATCCTCAACCATTATTCCCCCAATACAAATCAAAAATAGATTAATTACTTGTACTTGCATGAGTGCTATGTTGACCAGGAATTATTCGCAGCTTACATGCACAGTTTCTGACGAACGTGAGTCTGCGGCAGGTTAGGTTGTGAGGCCCCCGACCAAATCCAGCGCCATGCGTACTTGAGTACTTGTACGGCCTCTTTCTGCAAGCTGATGCTGGATTGAAGTTCCGACACACCTCGCAACTCCGGCAAGTTCTCAGATGTCATGATATCATCAAGTTAAATTTACCCCAGTTATACCAACCTGGCCTCCGCCAAAACACTATACTATGAAAAGGTGGTCATTTTCACAAACGTCGCTCTAATAGGGGTAATCTGCTCCCCATTTACTCCATCCGAAATCACTCTAATACAGCAGGGTTAGCAAGCATGCACAAAATCGGTATATTGTTGTTAAAAAATGGTGTGGCCCGGTCGCTATGATTATAGTATAGTACAGTACCTTAAACTAGCTGAAAAAGACCCCCGACATGATTGTACGGGGGTTTGTGTTAATTGAAAAGGTGCTCTTTTGGTCTACCCGGTCCAGTTATGCGGGGGAAGGATGCCGTTCCCTGGCTCTAATTGTGCTTTCTTCAGTAACTAACCCGGGACCATTTCAGCTTCAAGATCACATTTGGGACCTTAGCATTTGTTGTAGCACTTATTCGTCTACCACCATAATTTGTCAACGCGAGGACGGTGCAATCATCGCAAAGTAGGAAATCTTAAAATACTCCTTAATAAACCCCGAAAGAACACAAAAACAAGATTTAATGAAATAAGAGTGGAAAAACAAAAGAAAAAGGTATCAGGTATAATGTAGAAGTAACCGTGTCTAGTAGGATCGGCCAAAGAGGGTGTAATGCTATTTGTGCCGTTAGGATATATCTCTTTTTCAAAAGGTGCAAGTGGAAGGAACAGACCTTAGCGTTCTCACCACACTGCGGACACTTTGTTGTTCCCGAGATGATGGCGTCGTCACCTTTCGGCTGGTCGAATGGGATGCAGAGAGACTTCGCGCCCATGGATGGAGCTTTTGCGTCTTCTGGGGCGTCGTCGTCATTATGGCCTTTACTACGTTCTTTGACTTTGTCTTCACATTCCTCCTGGTCGCCTATCGTCGTAGTTTATTAGCAGTTTGACTATTGATAGGTTTTAAGTTTAGACTGGGGACTAGCAATGCGGCATGAGAATGACGTTCTTAGCATTCAATGCGGGAGTAAAGTCCTCCCACTTCTTGACAATAATGGTATGCTCATCATATGCCATTTTTGCTTTATCATAAAGCTCTTTCTGGATAGTGCCCAAGAGTGTCTGGACCTTTTCGGCAAGGCCACCTAGGGGGATACCGGCCTTGACACCAGTATCGCGACGAACAGAAAGGGCTTGCTTCTTCTCCATATCCTTGGGTCCGAACTCCAATCTCACTGGAACCCCTTTCAATTCCCAGTCGTTAAATTTGTATCCTGGAGAACAGGTTTCGCGGGTGTCTGCCTTGACGCGGATGCCAGCCTGAGACAGAGTTGTGGCCATGTCCTTGACACCTTGGAAAAGCCTCTTGCGCTCTTCATCGGCGGTCTTTGCGGTGAGACCGCAGGGGACAATGACAACTTGATATTGGGCAACCATAGGAGGGAGAACGAGACCCTTGTTGTCTCCGTGGATCATTGTCATGACACCAATGACACGGGTGGAAAAACCCCAGGAGTTTTGCCAGACGAAGAGTTTCTTGGCTTCTGCTGGGTCACCTTCTTTCCAAGATGGGTCCTCGACGACGATATTGAACATCTTGGAGAAGTTCTGGCCGAGGCAGTGGGATGTTGCACCTTGAATTCCACGACCGGTGGTTGGGATGTATCCCTCGCAGGTGGTAGTGAAGAGGCTCCCGGCGAACTTCTCCTTCCTAGTCTTACGACCTCTGATAGTTGGGACAGCGAGGAGCTCTGAGTAGATGCTTGCGTACCACTCGAGAATTTGAAGGACCTCTTCTTCAGCGCTTTTCTGGGTGATATGAGCTGTGTGACCCTCTTGCCACAAGAATTCGCGGGCACGGAGGAAAGGCTGAGGGTGCTTGAACTCCCAGCGGACAACGGAGTTCCACTGGTTTAGCTTGAGGGGGAGATCACGGTGACTGCGGATCCATTTTGCGTAGTAGGGGTACATGACAGTTTCAGAGGTTGGACGGATGGCGATGTGCTCTTCAAGCTCATTCTGGCCGCTGGGAAATGATTAGTAAACGTGTATTGATTGCCAACAGACGGGTGATATACGCTCGGGTGACCCAAGCAACCTCAGGGGCGAAGCCATCAACATGGTCCTTCTCACGCTCAAGGACCTTTCCAGAGACGAACATGGGAAAATAGCAGTTATCTACACCGATAGATTTGATCTTGACGTTGAACCAGGCTTGGACTTTCTCCCAGATACCGTATGACCATGGCTGATAATCGAGTTAGCTCTCGGGGGGTAAACGGAGAAGAGTTCTACAAGCCTTCAAAATATAGCATCCAGAAATGTCGTAATATTCTAACATATCACCCTTAGTAAGAACCTGCTGATACCAATTAGGGAAATCGATGTCTTTCTGGGTTGTGATCCCAATGAGTTCGGCATCTGGAATTCTGGCGCTGGCAGGCTTGGCCGATTTGGTGGGGGTCTTTTGGCGGTCTGCTTTCGGGTTTTCCTCGTTCCGGCGTCTATATCCTAGGTTAGAAAAAGCTGAAGTGACTAGGTCCGATCAGTGTTCCCAACCGTCCAGTTCGTCCGTCTTTCACTCCGGACAGGACGGACGGCAGTGCATGGAAGGATGCCAGGGACGGACTGGCGGGTGCCCTGGACTGTTGGGAACTCTGGGTCCAACACACAGTTAGAACTTACTCGTTGGTGACTGTGTTAAAGGTGTGTATAGTAAGTTTCACGCCAGTTTCTTCGAGATAGCTCTTAAGATGAGTACCAGAGACAAAAGAAGTAGTGTCTGATCCCGAAGGATGGATAGCAACTTTGGGAGTATCCACAAGACTCTGGTCAAGGAGAACTTGTACGGTTGAAGAATTATCCTTGGTGATTGTCAGGGGAGACACATCGATGGACTTGACTCCAAGTGCCGCATGTACTACGTCATCATTGGCTATACGGATGTTTTTGGCATCCAGAATCTTCTGGATCTTGGAGCAGGAGGTTGTAGTATCTTCTAGTGCTACCACAACAACTAGAATTGCGGTTTGTATCCTCGCTGTTTCTGTACTCCTGTCAGCAGGGGTCCAAATATAAACCTGGCCAGATTTCATGTGTCCATAACCGAGGTGGGGTTAGGTCGACGCATCATCTG